CAGCGGGGAGGGGAGGTGCTCTGGGGCTTGGCTGCTCCGCTCCAGCTACCTGATGTCAGCCCTCCAGGGTCCAAATTCCCCATCCGATCCCCTATTTTTTACCCCACAGTAGCTCCACAGACTCCTACAGGTTTCCTCCCAATTTATGGCGGCACAGGGGACCAAGGGGACAGTTTCGGTGTCTCCTCCCGACCAGAAACCCCTCAGCCTAGCAGAGTTTACGGGGTTTGTCCCAAAGCCCAGCACGTATGGTGAACCCAACGCAGGTGGGGCCAGCAGGTTCATGAGGAATCACCCCAAGATCCTGAGGGAGCCCAGAGAGCTCTCGGGATGGGGAGGGCTCTGCTTTGTGCGTGCGTAGGTACCGGCAGCAGCACTGACGGGACCACAGGTGGGGGGAAAGGGAATCTTGCTCTGCACTCCTTGGTGGGCTCTATTTTGGGGCAGCCATCCAGCGCTGTGGTACCTGACTGCAGCCCTGGCCAGCCCAGCACCAAAGTCCCTGGAGGATTTCACAGACATTTTCTGTTGTGCCTCCTTTTAGGGTTACAAACGCAGGCTGAATTCTATCGGCAGAGTGTTGGGATTTGGGGCTTTCTCTCTAAGAGGAGTGTGGATGTTTGTTTTTCACGACACAGCACCGACACTCTGGGCGTCGTGATTAAAAAACAAAACGAAACAACAACAAACCAAATAAAAAAACTCAAGTGAAAACAAGGAGCGTCGGGCACTGTGCACCTTGCCCTGCCTGTCTCATGAGTGGAAGTTTAGATTCTCAAAGTGAAATGAAAGAAATCCCGTTTCTCCTGGGGTCAGTGTCGCGGGGATACCCCACCGGCAAAGCCCTAAAATTCCTTCCCAGGCACTTTGTGGCGCCCTGATCGCGTCTGGCAGTGCCCAGCACCCCGTGAAACCCTGCAAAAGCCCGATTCTGCTGAGCACGTAAATAACTCCCGGGTTTCCCGAGCGGGGCTGCTGCCAGCCCAGCTCTGCCCGGCGCGGCGCATCGCCCCGGCGGGAGCCGGCGGGGAAGCCGGGACCACTTGCCAAGCAGCCCAGAGGAAAAGCCAAGAGTACTTACTCTTTCTTCAGCGAAGGTTTTCTTCGGAAGGAGCCTCTGAGCCTCCCAGGTGCCTGAGGAACACAAGTGATGTTCCCCATGCCGGGAGCGGCTGGAAGCGCCCGGGAGCGGCGGGGAGCCGGGAGG